TAGCAGATTAGAGCCAGCTGTTCTTCAGAGCTCCAGATGCCTTTGTGCATTTACTCACCGTTATAAAAAAGTGAAATCAGAACTGACTGAAAGGGATAGAGCTTCTTTTCATCATCCCATGGGCAGCACAACCCATGTCATCTCATTACATTCCCCAAGGGTGACAAGGGGATGATAAACAAAAGTGCTGACAAAATTAAGACCCTAAGGAATCTGTCAGAAGGAGATGCTGCCCATCACAACTCAGACTTGCTGAGAATAAATAAATGAAGCCAATTTAAGAAATTTCTAAGCTATTACCAAGGCATGTTACTAGGTCAACAGGATTTTATGATCAGTGATACAAGTTGAACTATATGCCAATATTATCTAGGCTGCCTCAGATCTGGCCAGTTTTACTCTAGCACTATGTCTTGCACCAAAGTAAAATTGAATTGGCTCCAGAATATCAATTAGCAGTGTCTGCTAAATAACAACTTCCCAAATATGTGTTCATAACCCCCCAAAAAATGAAGACTATAAACTGTTTCAGAGTGTCTCCATTTCTTACAAGGTAATGTAGCAGCCAAACTGCAAAGACAGTCTTAATTATTAGTCTCTCCACTTTTATGGCCTAACTAGATTTTCTTTCATCTTCTTCAGTATCATATATGATGATAAAACTTGTGTTTTCCCACTTAACATGTCAATATTTTAAAATATGTGAAGTCAAACGACAAAAAAAATATGGYTGTTAATCTTGGCTTGTGAAGGGAGAACAGTCATGGAAATTTTTCTCACACTCTGCATATATGTATGTGTTTACATAAGCTTATGTCATCCTATGCAAAGGGTTTTATTGGACTCAGAAAGAGAACTGATTTGTCCAGTGACATCCACTAGGATCACAGAGAATGTATTGCTACCGCCRAGTGTCCGTATTTTCAGAAGTCACTCTGTCAACACTTACAAATTTATAATTCTACAACAGTCAATAGAGCAATACCAATACATTGCAGAGCTTACAGAAATGAAGCAGTACACATTTCATAACAAAGTATTATACTGAAAAACAGCCTATGTACCATCATCTCCCGTTCCTTTTCAGGAACCCAAACTATTCCATGTAGGAGTTGTAGAGAGCTTTGAATTGTTAAACAGGATTTTTGTTTCTAACTATTTATCCAGCACGTCTCTCCTCCACTGATTTCAGATCAGCAGTTAAAATTATGTTTCCATGTCTTTCTCTTGCTTTGCATTACCTGTTCAGATTCTGGCAAGTCATTTATATGCTTTTGTTTTGATGTGCCATTCCAGAGTATATACAGGAGAGTCACATATCTTGAAAGGATTGTGTAGAACTTATTTTATGTTTATCAAGTAATATAAAACCTGCGCAGACACAGTTAGACTCATCAGGTTGAGTATCTTTCTACATAATCATTCCATATGATAATTACTTTGTGTTAAAAGAGCAATCACTTGAATTCCTTGAAGGCTACAGCTTACTTCCTTAGTGTAATTTTTACCAGCTCCGCTTGATGCAATACTATTCCAACCCTCTTTTGTTTTTTTTTTTTAGCAAAGCCATGACTTTTTTTTCTCCTTTCTCTTATGGTCCTTACTTTCACAGCCTTATAAATATTCTTATCGGACTCTCCGCTACATTCTGATGTTGCAGTAGAACGAGAATCATCTCCTATTCTCTCTTAAGTAAGTCTCAAAACTTTCCTCTAGTCCTGCGTATTCTACCTTTCTTCTAGAGTCAGAAATAGAAGTTTTTTCTTTTCCTCATTAACAGGACAGACTTCCACTAGCAGTAGCAAAGTAAGCTGAATTTCTAGTCAGATCCTCAGCCTGAGTTTAGGAATCATGGATTCATAGAATGCTTAAGGTTGGAAGGGACCTCAGAGGTCATCTAGTGCAATCCTCCTGCTCACACAGGGTCACCTAGAGCACGTGGCACAGGGCTGCGTCCAAGCAGGTTTTAAAGATCTCCAAAGAAGGAGACTCCCCAACCTCCCTGGGCAGCCTGTTCCAGGGCTCTGGCACCCTCACAGTGAAGAAATGCTTCTTTAAGTTCCTGTGGAACTTTCGGTGCCTCAGCTTGTGGCCGTTTCCTCTAGTCCTGTCACTGGCCACCAGTGAGAAGAGGCCGCCCCCTCCTCCTCACTGCCTGAGGTGCCTCACTGCCTCAGTGCCTTCCTCACTTTTGAGGAAGACTTCCTCAAAAATGGCATAAATAGATCCTAACTCCATGCCTTACAAGAGTCAGCTCCTCCTGAAAAAAACGCCCCAGTATTTGATGACTGAGACCTGGCTGAGTGTAATTCCCAGTGTATCACTCCTAAATTATACCAAAGTCAAATTTAGCTTCCAACTCTCTTTCTGATACCTAGAATTTGATTAAGCTAAGCTCTGCCCGTCTGCTTTGATCAACAGCAATGTTGACAATGTAAGAGGAAGGGAGCTAGTTAGCCAGGTGCCACTTTATAAAGGCTTCCTCTAAATAGTGAGTCAGAGCACAGTGTGGTGTTCATACACTGTGGCTGATAATACACCTGTGGCTTTGTTTAGCTCACTATTGCAAAAAAAAAAAAAAAAAAAAAAGAAAAGAAAAAAGAAAGAAATCTTGATTTCACATTCACTCACTCCCACTTCCCTCAAGTAAAAGAATGATCTTAAAAGACATTTTTTTCCTTAGCTGAGTATTTGAATAGAAAAAGCTCAATAGTACATCAGAGTAATGCTGATCCATGCCTTGGTTCCCACTTTTATACAGATGACCAAATTCATAGCACTGCAGTTTGACTGCAAAACACCCGTGAATAAGCTTGCTAGATCTGCCTTTTTTYTAAATCACATAATTAGGACAATTCAAAGAAAGTGTCTTTTCTTTTAGAGCTGCAAGCACTTATAGAACATGTGCAAGCTCTATAATATTTTTTATTTCAACCAGCTGTTGGGCACAATTCAGACTATGCAGAGCAATAGACAGATTGTTTTACAAGCAGATCAGCCCTCCCAGCTCTAGAAAGCAGTCTCTCACGCCCAAAATTTACACAAAATATAACAAGATTACATGAAAGCCTATGCAAAAATATATTCTGTTATTTTCAAGTATGTTTCCAGCTACTATATAGATGAGAAGATCTGATTAAAAAATTCAGAACAATATTGTTGGGGAGTTTCCAAGTCAAATACTCGAACTGATTAGAGTAGTATACTGCTTGATTAAAACTTCTAGACAAAGTGTGAAGCTAAAATGTTCCATCTAACCATAAAGGAGGGAGACAAGCAAAAGGCCCTCTCCTGATTTATTTTGAGGGCTGTTTCTTCTAGTAGGAACCTGTTTTCTTCTTATTCTCTATATGGCCAGTTTCAAGAGAGAGCACCTAAACCAGTCTGAAGAATAAGACATCAGTTAGCGCTACAATAAAACATGAAGAAAGCGTAACATTGCCTAAAGCTGTTAGACATTTGCCAAGTGAGGAAGGATAATATGACACAGGCTAATTCTATTACAGTTAGGTTCTTCTGCTCATTAAAAAATAATATTCTTAAAACATGTCAGTCCAGAAACATTCTGTTATTCAAGTAGTGTGTACTGAATGATTCAGATGAAAAGCATATTCACAGTTCTAAAACATAGGACCATTTTCATAACCAACTTATTTATTTTATTTTAATGCTGATGGCTTTCCTAATCTACTATATATTATCTACACAAACTTCTGGAGATAAAGTCTTTGCCTCAAATAAATCAGAGGAACCACAAAAAAAAATAAATAAATAAAAGGAGATAAGTCCAAAAACTGCAAACACAGACACACTGATTTTTTTCAGATGATTATCTAGGTTACCTGACTTACAGAAATCATAATATTGTGGGTTTCTAAGAGGGATGGATGTGATTGAATAGAGACTAGTATAGCTCAAAGCAAACAGAGAGCATCCCAGTCATGRTAGAGGCAGGCAGCAAGACCTTATGGAGGGAATGGGGCAAAAAGAAGGCTGACAGATCAGAATGACAACAGAATAAAAAGACAACAGAAGATAAGGAGGTAAGCAGACAACTGTTAAAGGCCTTGAAGGAATGGTGTTCTAACAAGAGATATGAAAGAAACAAAGAGTGAATGGAAGGATTAAAAAGGACATGATCAATCTAGCAGACAAGACAGAAAATGTCAGTTCTCATCATCTGAACAGATTTGATCCAAACAGAAAGTCAGGCAACGATATTGCGAAAGTCAAGGTTAAAGTCAAAAAAGCATTAAAATGAAAACTATCACAAAAAAGTAAATACAGATAGGCCATAGGGATAGAACTTAAATGAACATATTTCAGTATCTACAAAGGATTGATGAATTGTAGAAGAAATAAGAAACTATTTGCATTTTGATAAAATGATCTTTGCCTGTCCAACATATATCTCTGCACTGGAAATTATTCTGGAAATATCAAAACACATATACATACTGACTTAGCCACCAGCAAGCTCAATATTTTATAAACAAACAAGTCTGCTGAATATTAAAGGTCAGAATAAAGTATACAGTTGAAAATGCCAGACTGTAATCATAAAACTGTAGAAAATGTTCAAGTAATCAAAACCGCTTAATAATTTGGGGGTTAAAACTATTGGGATGCATTCAGTTTCCCCAGCACTACGAAAACACTTTAAATTTTCTCGTAATTTACAGAAAACCTGAGTATGAAAAGTTCCTTGAGAGCATATAGAAGCACAAAAGTGAAGGTCAAATATTGAAAACGCAGGCAATAACTTCTGCTGAAGTAAATGTCAATTATGATGTTAAACAACAAGGATGAAGATGTCATACACCTTGCTCTCTGCTTCCTCCAATCAGCTCTGCCATCCTGCCATCTCTTTTCATTAGCCAGGTAAATCTTTAAATAGCAAGTAGCCCAATCATGCCATTCTGAAACAAAAGGCCTGTCTTCAGCCTGTGCTTCTCCTGCAAGGGAGAGGATGTGCAATAAAATCAGCGCCAAAGCCCTACCTTCCGATCAGCAGGAACTCGCCGAGCACTCCCAGGCGCCTCATGGCAATGAGGATCCCTCTCACGGTCATCCCCTCACAGAAGCAGACCACCACCCTCGCCTTGGGCAGCCTCTCCCGCAGCTTCCGAAGCAGGCGGTCAAAGCTCTTCTCCCCAGCATTGCTGTAGATCTTGTCGGAGTGAGCGATGCAGAGTCCTTCTTGGGCAGCCAACTCTTTGAAGGCTTCCATTCCACTCTCCCCATAATTGCCTGTTTAAACAAAAGCGGATATTACATCACACATCTAACAAATTAAGGGAGTCTAGGATAGAAAAGGGCTAGTTCTTCCCTCAAAAATCAATCATCATTAGCAGAAGGGGAGAGCAAAGAAGGTTCATCACAGCCAACACGTTCAGGATTCAGCAGAGCAGCAGGGTACTATGTGCTTGGTCTTAACTCATCCAAGGACACCAAGCTTCTTTTCTTACGCTGATATACCAGTGGACCATAAAGAAAAAAAAAAAGAGGTATCGAAGTAGAAGAAGGAAGRAAGAGACTCACACAGTAAGGATTAAGCTTTGTTAAAATTTCTATAGCCAAATAATCATTGTGCTATTCCAGGAAAACAGTCAAAAACCGTTTTATATCTTGGTGATACAATTTAACTTGTTTCTTCTCTGATCTGTTAAAAGAAACAAGAGGTACCTGCTGTTGTTTCTGACTCACAATATGTTTAGTAGCACTAAATAGCACTACTTTTTTCATCTTAAAGATGGTACACCATACAAAATGTAGTATTTTTTAAAGCAATCCTCTTTCTATAATAGTGTTGGAGAACAGTTTGAAGAGGTCTTTCTACTGCTTCTACTGCTCTAGAATTTCTTATGGTTTATTGTCTGTAAATAATATGTGTCCTCTAGAAAAGGTACGTCATTAAAAGGTACGTGTCCTCTAGAAAAGGTACAGAGATATGGTGGCAGAGATATCCCTTGGAGGATCTTTGCTAGTGGCCCCGTCCTTCACTACAGCCCATTCCATCACACAGCCCCTTGCATGCAGGTGCAACACACTGAGAAGGACACAAGGAGAACTTTCTATATATCTCTAGATTTTAATCTGTAGTCGCTCCAAGTTTTGTCCCAAGTTTTGAGGCTGGGCAGTTAGTGCATTTCTGCTTTTGTGATTTGCCTCTGTCCCCAGTCTGAAGCAGGACAGCCTCATTACTGACTGCCATTAGCAACTGCCTTTTGCTTTGGGAGCAAATTACAACATGTTGTCCAGCTTCTTCTGGAGCTTTATGCAACATGGTCTCATTTAAGGATTATTCCTGCAAGTAAGTGTTACTCAGGGTGAACCAGGGGAGCAAAGTGAATCTTATTAGCTAGTTAGGCAATGCATATTAGATAACAAAAGTAATATGTTTCCTACCTAAATTGTTATTGACCTAAATATAAGGGTAGTATGGGATTTTTTTTTCATACATTTTGTACCRCATTAGCTCAGCTGCAATTACAGTTAAGATTTTCAACAAAAGGGAAATTAAACCCATGTGGAATGCTTTCGCCTAGCTTTAGTTTTGTTGCAATAACAACTATCTTAAATACACAGATACACTTATAATACAACAGTATACCAAAACACAAATTAAAGGAAGTAGGATTGCTGCCTATAAATTCGTCACAATGCAATAAAGATCATTGAAGGAAAAAAAAAACTAGTTAAGATTAAGAACAACACTGACATACAATCAAATAACTAAACATAAGGCAGAAAAAATCTGAGGCTGGGAATTGAAAACTTTSTAACTGTCGCATTAAAAAAAGAAGGGTAGAGAAAAGGCTTTCTAATGGAAGTATGAAATAGAACTCATTTTCAGAATGAAGCTTCATATTGTCACATTGGGAGCATTACATAATGTAGATGTCTGCAACAACCAGAGATGAGACTTGATGACCCAAAACATCCTTTCAAAGCCTATTTCTTACCTTCCCCAGCAAGATGGGATGCTGCATACCTTCCTCCTCAAGGGGAAAGGGCAAGGAGGAAAGTGAGTATGTGACAGATGTTAGACACATTGTTCAGTGCGCACAGCTACTAGGGTAAGCACAGTGTAAGAGCATATATAGTGCAGAATACACTAATTAATTCTGTGCAGCAGCCAAGAACATATCCATCTGCACCAGCATGCTGGGTAAACCCATTTTAATCCATGCATGCAACTGCGGACATGKGGGCATGTAGTGCAAGGAATCTGCRTGAGATGGCAGTCAGCAAAGAGTTACCACAGGTTAAGGATGTGGCCTTAGGATCTCTCTTCCTTTGAAAGAGGAATTGAACAGAAGATCTGCTYTTTCCTGCATCTGTCCTTTTATAATCAGAATAAGCTATGAATTTGTTTTTCTGAATCTATCAGCAACAGATTTTCACTGATATGTACCCAGATGCTGCACGAGCCAGTAACATATTCTGTGTCCCACAATATCAGACTATWTTTTAATGATTTTTGCTTTTTGTACTGTTTTCTTAGTTCTGTTGAACTTTATCTTATTCAGAGCACTCAATATTCTCTTTACGTTCTGAATGCAAATGCTAACTGTATTACACCTGCAGCATTACTAAGAGTTTTTTCATGTCACAGTGCTCTCAGTGTCAAAGACAACTTTGCTTCACCGCCCTAAAGATAAAATGCCATTCCAGCTGCAGGCATCCATGTACTTGAAGAGCAAGATAAGAGGGAACTGTTCTAAGTCATTGCATTCCTATGCAWTAAATATTTTAACAAAAACATTAAGATGACATTTTAGGTAAATATATATAATCATTTTGATCAACAAAATAAAGGCATTTTTCAGACATACTCTTAGCATTGATCTAGTATAATAGTTGGCTTCAAATATCCCCAAAGTACATCAAATATTTAGCCTCATAAACCGCTCCTGTGAGCATTGCAGCCCTGTCATGTCTGATAAAGGAAATCACACTATTTGCTTGTGGTAACATTTCAACAGCATGAGGAGCAAAGACCATATAAAAGGTGTACGTTATTCTTCTTATTATGGTTGTTTGGCAAATTTAGTGCCCATTTTCTCTGTCAAGAGAACCATTTCTCTCCCTTTTTTGAAATGCAGTGAGGATGTAGTCTCAGCAGTCAGAGGCTGATTAGAATCTTGAAAACTGCCTGCTCAAGGGAGACACAGAGTAGCTGTGTGGGGCTTCCCAAGCCATATGATGAAAAATGCTGCCTTTACAGGGGGCTTAAAGCAAAAATTACCCCATTAGTCATTGGTAAATTCACATTCAAGCATTATCTGTGTTCTAAGTTCAAGGCTTATCTGTGGGGCAGCACAAGGAAACATGGACTGTCCATACTTGTGCTATAGAAAGCAGCCTTTGAAATATATGTCAGACCTTAAAAAAAAATCTTAAAGAGAAGGAAAACCACAGTGGTGAATGAGGAAGCCAGAATATGTCTTCCTACTTTGGTTTCAAATTCAATAGAAAATAAAAAGCACTTTTCTTAGAGACCCCCTTTGGAGATACAAAAGGAAATAGGGCAGCGTGTGGAAGACTGTTCCAATGCACTTAAACCAGATAATAAAAKGCAGGAGGCAAGAGAGGCTTAATCTTCCAGACAGACGCAACACCTGCACCTTGTCATTAAGGTTGATTTGCCACATCCATTCCTCTCAACAGCATCAGCACCCACAGTGTAGCTGCAAGGTAAGAATCCCCAAACACATGCCCCATAAACACACAGAGAAGGAAGTGCTCCAATAAATAAGAACCATCAGGTGCAGCCTGACTGCAGGGTACTAGACACCAATTTTATCACAKGGAGGTCTCCCTTTTCCCAAATAACAGGTCATAAAATATTCTCTGTCCCATTTTCCCYTGGAGTCCCTACTTCACCTCTCCCAAACTTTTAGATACAATGTTTCAGTCTGCAGTATTGATTCACCTTAAAAAAATACCTCTGTTCTTCAGCTAATTAAGTGCTTTTTTGCAAGGAGGGAGAAAATAAGCAGAGAACAAGGGACTCTCCTGACATAACAGCAAGGAAAACTGTACAAAGCTTCACGACTGCAAACACCATCCATGAAGAGTGGAGCAAGGACAAGACCTGATTACTGTGTTAGTTCCCCAGATGTTCCAATAGCTATTTTATAAAGAMTATGGTAATGTTAAATATGGCACTAAAGGTCCAGTTTTCAAATTAAAAGCCTTGGGGAGCTGGWAGATTTTGGAGTGCTGAATAGTCTTTTTAAAAAGACAAAACAGCAATTAACATTTCTGTTCCAATTTCCTCCCTTATCGCATCAGACTAATATTTCCCTGCACCATCAGGGCATCTTTGGATAGGATCAGTTAATGAGCAAATGACTGTGTTTCCTCCTCTTAATATATTTCTTATCAGTTCAGTCATAATCATGTGTCCACTCTCAGTCTAAGCTAGAATGAAAAAGTTTAACTTTCTTTTTAATTGGTTTGCTTCTAACAGTCTAGGAGCACACATATAATCAGTTTGGGATCCTCAGCTGACAGCAACAACTTTCTAAGCCAAAGTAACTCAATCATTTCTAGTCATTGGTCCATATCTTTGAACATGCATAATTGTAAAATTACTCCAGAGAGTTAAAAAAAAAAAAAAAAAAAAACACAATAAAATCTAAAAAAAAAGAATCAAACAAGCAAATAAAAAAAAAAAAAAAAAAAAAAAAAAGCTGGAAGTGTTATAGAAATGTTCTGCTTGCGTTGTTTTCATACACCCCAGTTATCCAGATTCTTGTAAAACGGCTATCCCTTCTGCTGGAAAGCAAAAGCAGTTCCATTGGAATATGACTTACAAGATGCTTGAGCTGACTCAACCCCATCTCTGCAACTGTGGAAAGGGCAGAGCTCAAATACTCCCATGTTTCCCCTAAATATCTATGCCAAGGCTAAAATTGCATTGATGCCAGAAGGTTCTGCATTTTGCTCCAAATAGGATTTGTCTTTTCCTTTTCCAGAGAATTTCAGTGACTACTCTTCTCCAAACATGGAGTTTGCTGTCTATAGCCCTTAAACCCATATTTTCCCTTCAGACCTCAAATAGCTTTCGCAACATCGCTCTCTTTCTTCACTGAATTTATCCCATCCAACATCACAAGCTTGTTTGTTTGTTTGTTTTATTTTTTATTAAGGGACAACTTTTAAGTAGGAGAGCTAAGCCCTAAGTGTTCTTTGCAAACCAGATTTTGCATTKAGCAGAAGGCTCACTGCCCTTCAATGAT